TATTCTGGATTTTGCTTAGTTTATTAGCTTAAGCTTAAGATTTATATCATATAAGAGGAAATTATTTTGTCCCTTGAATTTTTTTCAAAAGTTAAAAAATAAATAAAACATTACAGAAATATTTAACAAAGCAAAAGTCCCTCATAATCTTGTTAATAGGCCATTTTAAAAGACAAACTTAGAGAGTCCTCTTTGCACCCAGTCTTTCAAAGGCTGTGAAATTAAGGTGTTAAAAAAATAAATAGACCCAATGAAGAGGTTTTGATGATTCAGAAAATACGTGAAGAGTTTGTTATTGTATCACCACTATGTGCCATCAGGCTGTGTAGCAGAAATAATTATTACTGAATGAACATGTTAAGCAAGAAAGTTTGTGATTTATACCTGTTGTGTAATCAGTGTTTTTGTGTTGTAAATTATATTATATTTTAACAATATTAGGGAAACTTTTTTTCTAATGAGCTAGATAGTAAATATTTTAGATGTGGCAGTCTATAGTCTCTGTCACAACTACTCAGCCCTGCTGTTATAGCACAAAAGCAGCCATAGACAATACATACACAAATGAGCATAGTTGTTTCAATAAAACTTTATTTACAAAGACAGGGAGTGAGCTAAATTTGGCCCAAAGGCCATTGTTTGCAAACCCCCAATTTAGAGCAACCCTGTCGTGAGTTCTTTTGCAGACTTAAAAACCAAAAAATAAAAAATACTCCCTGTTAGGGAACTAAGATTATCAGAGACGAATGTTTGAGTTTTGGACATATTGAAATGTTTTGAAGTGAGACATAGGTATTTGCAACATCTTGGTTAGACAAAAAGAAGGTTAAATGTATACGTGAATTGAACAAAAGCATTCATACATTTGGTTTGTTGTCAGGTTAAAAGTGGAAAATCCTATCAGTTCTTAAGCTTCAGGCATTACCTGATTACTGAGTAAGATCTAGCAAAGGTTCTCCTGGCCAGAACTTGCACAATTGGCCAGGAGCACCGTGGACTTTCTCCCCTTTCATACCATCTGGTTTATGGGCCACTATTAGAAATGTTGTATATATTGTACTAGCAATGACCTTTGATCTAGTCCCATTTCTTTTGCCATATGCTGTGTTTTGTCTCTAAAATAGAGTAAATATTGGTTAATATTCATACAAAATGCTATTAATGTGAAGTTGATCGAGAAGGCAGAAAAGTCCAAGTGAGCAAATCTGACCACTGTTTGTTTTCTGTTCACAGTGGCACGTTTCAGTACACCCTGGAAGCCACCAAATCTCTCCGTCAGAAGCAGGGGGAGGGCCCCATGACCTACCTCAACAAAGGACAGTTCTATGCCATAACGCTCAGCGAGACCGGGGATAACAAATGCTTCCGACACCCAATCAGCAAAGTCAGGGTATGGGTCACATTTCTCAAATGAAGTACAGAAGGGTCAGATGGGTGGAACTGCCACTCCAAAGCCTTGTGGAGTGGCATGGGAAAAATTGTGAAATCAATAACTTTAGAACAAATGTTAGAGAGTTGGGGCAAGAGAACTTATTGGCTTGTAGTTTATCACTTTAATCAGTAACCAATAAACCCCAAGGAAGGGACGTGGTTGAAACATGCTTCCTGACTGTATTCAAGAAATGTTCTCTGCTTCATTCATTGCCTAGACGCTACCTAGTTGTTTTCAATCAACCGATCTTAAGTTTTCAAGTAGGTAGCTGTAAGTCAGAATGTATTTGCGGATGAGAAAGAGCTGTTGCTCTGTTGTGGCAGGATCGGGTGCATTCAGGCTG